GTTTATTGAAAAAAATGATAATAAAATCCCTTCGAATTATGTAAGTGACAATTTCGTCACTCAAATATCATAATATCAATGAAATCCTTAGAGACTTCTTTGTCAATAACTTTTTTAGGGAAAAAAAAAACTATTTTACCCTTGCTGAAAACAATAAGACTCAATCATAACTTTTGTTTAAAAAATCATATTTTTTGTTCTGTAAATTGCAAGAATTGAATAAGAAATCACAACTTGTCAAATGTAATTTTTATTAGTGAAAAACAAGCCCCAATCATAATTTTTGTTTAAACAATAACAACTTTTATTATATGAATCATAAGAGTTGAACAAAAAATTACAACTTGTCAAATGTAATTTCTATTATTGAAAAATAAATTCTCAAAATAACAAACTCCATTCATAACTTTTGTTTAAAGAATCACAACTTTTCTTCAAGGAATCACAAGAATTGAACAAGAAATTACAAATTTATCAATAAAGGTAAAATGGTCTTTTTCTAAAAAAAGTTATTGACAAAGAGATCCTTGAAGACTTCATTAGTATTATGACATTTTAAGGAATTAAAATTGTCATTTATATAATTTGAAGAGATTTTATTATCATTTTTCCTAGTTTATTTGTGCATCATGCTACAATTTTATTATTAGTTTGATTTTGATTGTGGTTATATCAAATAAAGTTATCACTAATGTATAACAATTACAATGTTGGTTTTTTTTTCCTTGAGATAAGAATGACAAAATAATAGTTAAATTATATATTTAATTCTTTAACTTTATACAAAGTTTCATTTGAGTCTTTTAATTTTATAAAATATAGTTTTAGTCTTTTAACTTTAATATTATTAGTTTTATTGCAAAAAAGTTTTACATTGAACATTTAAATATTAACAAAATATTATCAAATATTGATATGTTAACTTAATTTTTTTTAAAATTAACAATAATTAGCATAAAAAATAATCATTTAAAACTAACAGTGCTAGAGTTACAGGGTTGGAAATATACTTTATAAACTTAAAGGATTAAATTTAAACGTTACATAAAATTAGAGGACCAAAATTATGCTTTAGCCTCACATAACTAATATTGTTAATTAATTTAAAATCGAGCATTGTTAGACTTGAATGAAGGGAAATCACTGAGTGTGGCTTAATTTTATTTACAAGATTTAAAGAAACTTGAGTACTTCCCCATGGTATAATGTTGGATATTTTGATAAGAGTAATGATTTCGTTTTTTTTTTTGTCAATGAGCATAATAGTACTTAAGGAGATGACATTTTGGACCACGGATGCAAATAAAAGTATAAACTCACAAAAGTTTTTTTTTTTTTGCCAAAGGGATTTAAAATATTGGAAAATAGGATAAAGTACTAGGGTCTTTGTTTGGCAAAAAAATGCTAGACAAAAATGCCCTTCTCCCTCCCCTCCTCGCCCCATGTTCACACTCCAGATCCCACACACACACATTCACTTGTAAATTGTCGATGATTACTTGCTAGATAATTTGAAAGAAGATCGATGTAAATATCATTGAATAAAAAAAAGAAGTAATTTCAAGGAAAAGGGACTTATAATTAATTGCAGGAAACTATGTTAACATCACATAAAATATATAGGGCAACGTGATAATATAATTTCTACAAATGTAAAAAATAAATGATTTTCTGTCATGAAATTTATGAAAATATATTAGCAACATGATAGGATCAAGAGAAAATTTCATTTAGATCCTTAGACACGATTTACAGAAAAATTACAGAAAAGGACTTTTTTTTTTGCAACAATTGAGTTTTTCATCATCATTTTTTAGTTAACTAACGATTAAAGTTAACTTTTCTTAATGATAGAGACTACTTTGCACTATTTTCAAAAGTTGAGGGAAAATATTACACAAAAAAAAAGTTTAGGTGATTTTTGAAGATCTATAGTTTAAGAGTCAAATTACTATTTAACCCAATTAAATATGATTAATTGATTACATTTATAACAATTTATATCATTTAATTTCATTAATTAATGTCGTTTCAGACAATGGTTGTGTAAATTTTAAAAACTATATATAGAAGTTTGTATAACTTTAACCAAATTGTTTGTCTTAATTTGGAAAAAAGGAGACAAAATCTCTATCATTTAGTAAAAAAATAAAAAATCTATATAATTTATTATAGATGATATTTGTGAAAGGAAATTAGTATATAAAAGGGAGAATTATATATATATATATATATATATATATTGAGGATAGAGTACATATAAAATTTAACCTTATCATAATGTAAGAGAAGTTTATCTTAATTTGGAAAAAAAGAGGAAATCTGAATCATTAATAAAAATATATATGAGTTATTATAAACTTTATGAAAAAATTCATTAGTAAAGAATAGATTCTCATTGTTATCAAAAAAGGAATAAAATCTCATATAATTATTGTATAAATATTAAATTTTCAAAAATATATCAATTTTCTTCCCTTGATGTCATTCATGTCCATATATATTCCTTGTCCCTCTTGTAATATAAATTGGTACAAGATGTCCCCAAATTATATCCAAGAAACAAACATCAATTCTATATCGCAACAAATCATATTAACTTCCTACATTTGAATCAACGAAACAAGATATGGGAAATGCTTCTTTCAAGTTCGCTTTCATATTTCTTCTTCTAGCTTTTGCCACCTTTGGTACTTCCTCATCTTTATATCTATTTACTAACTCATATAACCTATAGTAAAAAATATATTGCATGTAGCTAGACAACCCAATCCAGTCCTACTCGAATAAGTAGTCCAAACAGAAAATAGGACTAGACTAGATTGATTTAGATTGGATTACCTTCTATTGCGGCTCTGGTTTATCTTTTGTGCAGCCCTAACATGTATTTCCTTCTATCTCTATTATAAGATGCCTTTTGAAAAGATTCTTTACTTCTTAATATAAGACACTTGATAGGATATTAATTACATTTCTAATATTATGCTTATTTAAGTTCATTAATTATAAGAAAAAATGTAATGCAAACTTGAAAAATTTTTGTTTAAATAGAGGTGAAATTGAAAGTTTATTTTCTTTTCAAATAAAATTAATAACTTAATTACTTCTTGATTGCATTAAAATAGTTAGACATACATTATGATGAAGATATAGGAAATAGTGTATTACAAAATATAATAAAAAGTTAGAATATGTATAAATAAATAATGAAATAGTATTACTCTCTCTCTCTCGACCAATGGATTTCCATAACACATTTTCAGTAAAATAATTATATATATATATATATATATATATTTATTGCAGTTAAAAGCCTGAATAACTTATCATTGTGTGCAGGAAGTTCATTTGCAAGCAGAGTGACGGTAAATGACGCAAGTAAGCCATCAGTTAGATGCCACACAAATAAGGATTGTCGTGGTGCTTGTTTGGTTGGACATGGTTTCTGTATTGATAATTTTTGTAAGTGCATTGATAAAACCAAACCATCAACAACATCACACCTTGCCACTCTCACTTGAAGATCCAGCTATTATATATCTCTGTTTCGTTGTATCATTTCCTGGCTATGTGGTTTTATGCTACACAAGACAACATACAATTCTATTGGAGGTCTTGTAGAAATAATATTCTAATTTAATTAATAATATATTCCCAGTTACAATGTTATTATATTGCATTGGTTTTGTTTTTCCCCGACCAACTACATTGCATTGGTTTAAACATCATAAAGTAAACTTACTCATATTATATTATACTACGCACACACACGCACAATATAATAATATATGTACTATATTATATATGTCTATCATACACATATCATATTCTAATGTTTGTATGACTAACCGGGGCATCATTATCATCATCAACATGATAACCAAACAACAACGTGTCATCTCTTTGCTATGAAAAAATAAAATAAACTATTTGTAAGTTACTTAAAGGGGAATGACATTAAAAACTAGGCATAGCCTAATTTACTACATAAGCCTAATTAATAATCTAAATCTGATATGAGTCTATCGAGTAAATAAGTTGGATTGGGCTTAAAGTAAACCAAAGTGTTGTCCTTTGATAGGGGCCTGATCTATTCCTACCCTTACATGTAACATTAGTTAGCTTATGAATGCACTTCTTTAGTAATAAAAAAAAACAAAAACAAAACATTGTGACGAGATAATTCAAGTTTGTGTATTTGTGGCTCAGCATCATAAGTCATAACTAGCCCATATGGGGCCATAAAATTAACCAAAGTGGCCCGAAAAGACGTACTCACAAACATTGGTATAGGCTCAAACCAGGTGGGTTATGAATTTTGTCTCGGTATTTTAATGAAATTTTGAAAAGCGAATTAATACAAAGTAAGAGTATCATTCCATCTTTTAATGAAATTTCTTTGTTCAAATTAAAGCTTCAATATATCATACCATCTTTTACCAAGTTCTTCTTTCAAACAATTGACTTCACCTGGCAAAACCATTTCTTTGGGTTGCATTTTGCTCTTCTATTTTCAATTTTTTTTCCAGCTTCACACTGTTAATTGAAAATCACAATTTGCATGCAACGGTTTTAAAATGTCCTTTTTGTTTTAAAACACATACTTATTAAGGATACGGTTTGCATGCAACAGAATCAAACTATATTACATGGCTAAGCTTCAAGTCAACAGAATAGACTTCATTATTGGTAATGTCTTTGGTAAATCCACTTCCTCGTCAGGAGACTTGCTGAATTATGCACGGCAAGACGCTACATAATATTCAAATTAAAAATGTTAATAATTAATATAACTCCAAAATATCAGATGTATATAATCTAAGGCATGTCTTCTTTGTCATATTGATTTTATAATGTAAATATTTATGTTCAGTGTGGAAGATATAATCCTAGAATATTATATGAATAGGGAAATATCTAAGAATTCAAAAGGAAAAAAAATCAAATAATTAAAACATACATCAGAAGTTTGTTAAGATCACTTACCGCAGTGCCGATTTTCAACGAAAACGGTTCGTCTTGAGGACCCCCATATCAAGCTTGTCTTGGATGCGATATAAGAATCTAAAGTAAGAATGCCTGAAATTCTTGTTGAAGAAAATGGCAATGCAGACTCCCCAAAAACCTGTGGCGAATCCAACTCCAATCCCAACATAGAAGTAAAATAGAAATTCATCTTCTTGACTATCATTTGTTTCCACGGGTTCAATGTGCTCTTCTTTATCTGTGCAATTCTTTGGAAGTGGAGCTCCACATAATCTCGGATTCCCCATGAAACTTTGTGGATCAAACCCTTGAAGTTGAGTTCTTGTTGGGATCTTACCTGTGAAATTGTTGAAGGAAATGTTCAAGGCTTCTAGAAAAGACAATTCAGCTATATCTTGAGGAATTTCACCTGAAAGTTGATTGCTTGCAAGATCAAGAGATTCCAACTTTTTCATGTTCATTATCTCATTTGGTATGTTTCCCTCAAATTGATTATGGGACAAGTTCAAAGATTGCAATTCAGTGAGACTAAATATCTCTGCAGGTATTTTTCTAGACATATTATTACTTGATAGATCAACAGAATGCAATAATTTCAAATTTTCGCCGTATCTTGATCGTTATCCTTTTATATGCACCACAACATAGTCTTGCATTTTGTAAATGATATCTTGAATTCTAATGCAAAATCTGTAAACCCCACTATGTGAATTAGGGAAAGTCATGGCTGTCATATTTTGTAGACAAACAGGTAATGAACCTGATATTTTGTTGTCTGCAAAATCCAATATTGTAAGGGAAGTCAATTGGCATATTTGGAGAGGCATATTTCCACTAAGTTGATTGGATCTTAGTCAAAGAATCTTTGCATTTTGCATCCTCCAGTTGGGTAAGAATCCAGATAATTGATTTTCTCCGACATCAAGGACTTGCAATTTCTGGCAATTTTTTAGTGACAAAGGTATCTCTCCAGATAAATTGTTTTTGTTGAGATGCAAAAATCTAAGGTTAGAAAGCAAACTAATTGAAGAGGGGATTGTGCCCGTTAGTTTATTGCCTTCTAGACTAATAAATTCTAATGATTTCCGATGCATCCAACAATTTGTAGGCCCTCCTGGCAAAAGATTATAAGACATGTCCAAATACTTCAATTGGCTTCTCCCATTCTTTTTTTGACACAATGATGAGGAAATAGGTCCTTCGAAAGAGTTGTTTCCCACACTGAGTACCACAACATTCGGTGACAATTGAGGGAGTTGGCCTTTGAGATTGTTTGAAATCAACATTATGATGGTAGAGTTTAGTAACACGTTAGACATCTCCCCATGAATGGTATTTCCTTCCATGTGTAAGTGTGGAACTCGTGCTACGAATTGCCAAAACTTATCTTGAGGTTGAAATGAAATTACTGAGGAGGTCATTATTAACCTCCTAAGGGATGTTTGTTGATACATCCATGCCGGAATTTTGGAGCCTATCATGTATTCCAAATGAATAAAATCAAGTTGATAAGGAGGAACCAATAGCAAATCAAAGTCAAGGATTAAATCCGGTGATCCAATGTAAAGTCGTTTCAAATTTGACAGATTGACAAAATTTCTTTTAGTCACCTACCCTGAGAAGTGATTATCACCGACAGTTAATTCCTTCAGATTCAACAGTTGTCCAAGACTTTCTGGTAGACTACCATTTAAGTGATTTGAGCTAACATCCAGGATAATCAATGACGACATATTTCCAAGAGTAGAAGGAATTGGACCGGAAAAGGAATTTTCACTAATATCAAGGACTCGTAAATGCTCAAGTTGGGCTAACCAATCTGGAATTGGTCCACTTAGTTCATTTTCAGAAAAATATAACTCTTGCACATTTCGATGTTTAATAAACTCTTTGGGAGGTGGCCTTGAAAGTTATTATTGTGTAACTCCGCAAGTGAAGGAAGCAGAGTTGCCAATTGAATCCAATCAACTTTTCCTTGAAGATTAATACCACTCAAGGAGGGAACACGAGAAAGCCAATGAAGATCATCAATGTGAAGATCCTCATTAAAGGATAAATCAAGATGATGAATATTGGAGGAATTTTCACATGACAGGTGACGATGATTACAACTTGTGATATTCACGTAATCATCATGGGCCAAAGCGTGGAAGTTATTACCAGAGGTTGCAAGTGGTGTTGTCACAATGAACGTCTCTTTCAGTGCATAATAATTATTTTTATAAAAATAACTTGATAAAAGAAATCCAATGCCTTTAAACTTGCACGAGGGGAGGGAGGCGAATCAGCGGATTTCAATTGTGATTGTCCTATTATGTGCGTGAAATCACTTCTTCTCCAAACACATTTTACTAGGTTATTTCATTCCTTAGTATATATATACTAGAAGAGTCATTCTTTTATTCAATGTAGGACTTTGACACACACATTTTTGACACACATACAACAACACCCTTTTATATGACAATTCCTACTATTTATCTTTAATTCTTCATGACATAAATGGTCCCCGTTAGTTATTTTCCTTTCTCTGACATTATGTTTTCATAATAGCTCGCCTTTACTTGCTTAATTAATTAGCTAATTTCTTTTTCTTTATGAATGGGCAGCAAGGTGTCGTCGATGAAACCTTAATTTGCATTAGACTTGAAGAAAATAATGAATAATGACAAGTCAATGCAGGAAAAGCTCAAGTTGCACACAATACTATGTACTCATCATTTATATGTTTTGACCAATAAAAAAATTAAAATATTTTCCATATATTTATTTTACGGTCTAATATATATATATAATCAGTTTAAAAAGAGCAGAATGAATAAAAAATAAAATTAAATAGTGATTTTTTAAACAAAAAAATTTTATATTTTAAAATAAAAAATATTAATTAACATGTCAATTAACTATTTCTAACTTATAAATAGTGATGTAAATATCCATTTAGTCAAAAGTATATTGCAGAAATTAAAGGAGTGGTGCAAGTTCGATGACTGCAAGGAGAAGAATGGAATGGCCAAAAGAAGTTGTAACACTTATAAATGGAATGGAATGGAATGGCCAAGGTTCCATTTAGTCGTAACACTCGATAGATAGATCTGATAGCAATAGAGACATAGGAACCACTCTTCTCCACATTTAGTCAAAAGTATCATTGACTATTCTTCGTGTTTGATGCTTCTTTCCAATCAGCGCACTGAAGCTTCTTCCTATATTCACTTGTCTTTGTCCAATAATTTCTCTAAGCCTTTTGATTTTTCATAGAGCTAGAAAAATGGGTCGGACAACCTGAAAGTTGGCAGGTGCGGGTATACAAAATTTCAATTTTTTAATTTTACTTTTTAAATCTATTTTTTCCTGTAAGCTAATGGGAGAATCCAGACATCAATAATAAAAAAGAATTTAATGTATGATGATGGGTAATGGGGATTAGAGATTATATGTGTTTGAAGTCATGATTTTGGTTGCACAGGTAATCTTTTGCAGAATTTCAGCTTCAGGTTGCATATATATGTTTGTATAATTGCTTTATTCGCTTAATTAATTCCTTCACCCTTATGAATGGGCAATAGGGCACCGTGTAGTCATCAATGAAACCTTAATTTACGTCGTAGACTTGAAGAAAATAATGAATAAAGACAAGTCAATGTAGGAAAAGCTCCCACGGATTTAAATGAAAGCACTCGACGCAAATAATCAAGTTCTGGCCAATAAAAAAATTCAAAATTTTTCCAGCCCACATATTATGGAAAAAATGCTTGCAGAATTTCTCTCTCTCTCTTTCTTCGTTATTCAATTCTTGTTTCTCTCACATGTTTCATTTTTAGTTCAACTTTTTTCAGTTTTTTACATATGTTTATTTTCTGGTCTAATATATATATATATATATATATATATATATATATATATTCATTTTAAAAGAATAGAATGAAGAAAAATCAAATTAAAAAGTGATTTATTAAAAAATATATTTTATATTTTAAATAAAAATCATTAACATATCAGTTAATATAACATATAGGTAGGGGCCGAGTGTTTTTTTAAAAGAATGAAAATAAAATGGATTAATTAAAGAAATCAAATGTACCAAGACAAATATTATTCTTAACTTATAAATAGTTCATGTAACTCATCAATGCGGTCCAAAGTATTGAGTAGAAATTAAATGAGTGGTGCAAGTCTATGATTGCAAGTATAAGAATAATGGAATAGCCAAAAACCAGTTACCGTTACACTCCATAGATAGATGATAGATCTGATAATGCAATAGACATATAAAAACCACTCCTCTTTATTAAACTCTTTACGTTAAGTATGCTTAACAGTGGTTTACTTGATCAAAATAATTTGATTAAATTTTATATATTCTCAATCCATTTTCTATTTTTTAAATGTGAGAATTTGATTTCTTTATCACTCATAATCTCCCGATAATAAGTTTTGGTGTAGGTATTATCACGTCAAAGTATCATTGACTATTCTTCGTGTCTGATACTCCTTTTTAGTTAGCGTGCTGAGCTTTCTTTCCTCCATTGACTTGTCTTTGTCTTATAATTTCAATTAGTCTTTGATTTTCCATACAGCTAGGAAAAGCAGGTTAGGCAGGCTGCAACTTGGCGGGTGCAGGTTTTTATTTACACTTTTTAAATCTAATTTCTTTTTAATGTAAATTAATTATCCAAACATCAATAAAAAAGAATTAACGTTGAAGGAAAATGAGAAAAATAAAAATAGACAATCATACAATGATGTTGGAGAAACAATACATGAGTTAAGAGCCTGGAAAACAAGTGTTGAATACTACCCGCCCCATTTTATAAGATATATTTTTAAGGGGTTTGATGTTTCATAATATAATATGTTTTTATAAAATAATGATTCATCATTAAGGTAGTTTATTTTAAAATTGTCCCTCATTATTTAATTTCACTCATTAAATATTTCTTTCCCTTTCTCTCGTATTAAATGAACACTAGCTAGCTATTTTTGATTTTTTTTTGGTGAAAATTGGGCAATTGCCCGTATTATTCAATCAAGCTATTTTTGAAATTTTATATTTAATTAACTAATTTGATTAGCATTCATAATTTTATCAGGGAAAATGTTATAAAATAAAACAAAGGGAGTGACAAAGGCAACTCTGCCATAAATTTTGGGTCAAGAGTGTATTTTTCAGGGTTACGAATCTTAAAAATATGCTTTTGTCATGCCACTTTTTGGTAAAGAAAGAGCCACGTATTTTACGGTTCAAATCAATTTGTTTTGTCCTCCGCAAATCAATGCAAGAAACAACGATAAATTGCCATATAAATTTTTTAATAAAAAATGTATTTTCAGGAGTCAAGACTCTTAAAAGTATCCTTAATCATGCCTTTAATTTTCCGAATGGTCCCTAGCTATTTGAGTCGGGTCATGTCAACTTTCAACTTGTTTTGTCCTCCACGAAACAATTCCACAAAGTCATCCACCACATACATTATATATGAACATTATGGGATTTAAATCCTCTTTAGTTGAAATATGTGAATTTTTGTGAAAATTTCTTTTCTAAATTATTTTTTCATTTCTATTATTTTTAATAAAATATAAAATCTTCTCTTTCTTCTTTAAAAAGATAAACTTCACAAAAATTCATAGATCTAACTTTAGATAATTTAAATCAAACATTAGGGTACTATATGTGAATTTTAAAATGAGTTAAAGGGTAAAAATATTTCAAAAGTTTTTTCAAAAGAATATCCAGTTTCTTACTTTTTAAAAGCAGTGTTTGTGAAAATCTAAAAAATAGAGCAATATTGCCCTTGTCTAACATAAATGAGACTCCATGAAGACAATGTGCCCCTAAAATTGTTTGCTTTGTGTGTATTGGATTTGGATTTGATAACTATAGACATTGAGTGCTTGTATATTTGAGCCTTTAAAATTTATGTAAATGGTTCAGATAAACTCATTCATTCATTAATTTCAAGTGGAGTATACATTTAAAAACATTGGTATGAGTTTCAATAATTTAAATGATATAGGCACTAAGTTCCTATATTAAGTATAATTACCAAGTCCAAATTCGTATGTCTCATTAGAGAAATACTCTCTTTCCAAAAACCCCAGGCACAGCTCTGTCTCTGCTCTGCTTCACCAATATTCATTGGAAGAATTACCTTAAAGTTCCACAAAAAAGAATTAATTACTACAAAGTCTATTAATTATTGAACTAAGACCATGGCTTTAGTTCAAATATTAATGGATCTTGTAATAGTTAATTCTCTTCATTGAGACTTAGTTGTAATTCTCCTACATTCATTTACATTTACTCTTCATTTGTCACTGCCCATTTCCGGAAAATCTTACATATAAAATAAAAAAATCCAATTTTTTTTAAGTACACAAAAAATCAAGGAAAAATTAACAATATTAATATATCATATAAAATTCATGACAAATCACACATATTTTTCACAAGTCATAAAAATATTAACACATTTCACATTGGTCCAGCACTGCTACAGCGGGATTTTATTGACTTCATGGAGATTCTTGGAAGGTTACTTGATTGCATGCTTGATGAGGCCCAGGAATGTGGACATTTATCATGTCCTTTGTCCAATCAATGCTTCCAACTCTCTCCAACTTTGTGGCCTTCCTTAGCTTTTCTGTGTTCGTGTCGTGGAACCTGTTAGTTTTATATTTTCATAACATCATCAATAATCATTCCAAATATGTTATGCTAAAAATTTCTTCAAATTAACATATAATATATAAGTTTGAAATTAATGAAAACAGAATTAACAATTTAAAAACATACGCAGCCTTAAGAAACACGTAGGGTTTGTAAAGCTCAGCCATTCGTATCACCATTTTAATTTTCCTGTGGCTCCCACTGTAAACATTTTGGAAGCGTCCGCAGAGCACTTTGTTCACTAAATTTAATCCCTTTTCAAATCCACCAAGTCGTGCAAACGCATTAGTGTGTATATGCAATTTTATGAATTAGACAGGATTGAATATATACAAAATATTCCCTCTGATTTGTTATACACAAGTCATTTTTAACTACCTTATCAGAGTAAAAAAAGTAGTTAAACTATGATATTTGTCCCAAAAAAATTTCCCAGTTTAACCTTAATAAATGAATGGTCTTTAAAAACACTTTTTCTTCATATATATATATATATATATATATGTAATCTTTTACTCTACTCATAGAAAAGTGATTCATAATGAACTACTTTTTTATGCAAAGTAAGGTATATAAAAAGACCATCAATTCCTCCTAGAAAGTTACTTATACATAAGTCTGGAGAGAGTATATATATGTTGTAGAGAGAGAGAGAGAGAGAAAGAGATTGTTGTGAAGTATAGCTTCAAGCGTAGCAGATATAACATGAGTGGAAGCAGGTACTGAATCAACAAAAACATATGGAAACGACCATTGCTTGTTACTGCTGGCTTGGATTGAATCTTCAGTGGTTCTCCATTTTTGGCAGTCAATGGGCTGTTTTTGAAGTAGAGATACATGATATCAGGAATAGAGGCAAGTCTAAAAGGATTTGTTGACAAAGAACCAACATGGTATATGTAATTCTCTGATGTTGAAAATTACATAAAGGTAATGGAAAATTTTATTTATTTTGAATGCCATCTTTGGCTACTTAGCCTCCAAAGTACAACCTGAACCAGCCTTAAATACACATCAAGAAATAAGAAACGAGTGAGTAAAGCAAGTAATATTGACAGGGCTTAGCCCAAATTAATAATGACAGCCTAAAACCTAACAATGACAGCCTAATACCTATTTTATTCTAACTCTCAACACTCCCCCTAAAGTTGGTCCTGAAAATATTAAAGGTGTCCAACTTGCTCAACATGCATTCATGCATTTTCCTACAAAGGGCTTTGGTTAAAACATCTGCTTGTTGCTCTTCAGACATAACATGCCTCAAACTGATCAAGCTATCTTGAAGTTTCTCCCTCACAAAGTGACAATCGATCTCGATGTGTTTCGTTCTTTCATGATAAACTGGATTGGAGGTAATTTGAATCACAGCTCTACTATCACAATAAACACAAACAGGAGTTAAATCACAAACATGCAAATCCTTAAGCAATCCAATAAGCGAACTAATTTCAAAAACAATATATTCCCAATGCTCTATAGTTTGCTTCAGCAGATGATCTAGAAAATGTAGTTTGTTTCTTTGATTTCCAGGAAATAATGGCTCCATCTAACCTAACCAAGTATCCTGTAACAGATCTACGTGATTTTGGACGTGAGGCCCAGTCTAAATCACAAAACCCTTCTACCTCCATGATTCCGAAAGAAGGAAATAAGAGGCCCCTACCAGGATCCTTTTTCAGGTAGTTCACAACATTCAAGGCAGCCTTTAAATGCAATTTCCTAGGGCTGCTCATGAACTAGCTTACTAACTGGATAGCATAGCTTATATCTGGTCTAGTGGTAGTCAGATATAATAATTTCCCTATCAAACTCTTGTATCTAGTACAATCCTTTAAGAGGTCATCTTTCTCCCCTTTTTAGGTTCACTATTAAGGCTTAGACTAGGATTTAAAGGAACATTCCTTGGTTTTGATGCTCCCAAACCAGTAGATGTTATTAAATCTAAGGTATACTTTTGTTGATTTAGTATTAACCCTTTATTTGATTTAGCAACCTCAATGCCAAGAAAATATTTTAGTGAACCCAAATCTTTCATTTTAAAATTCATATGAAGGAAGTCTTTCATTTTCTTTATCCCTTCTACACTGTTTCCAGTTATTACAAGATCATCCATATAAGCTAGAACAATTATAAAATCATTTTGTCTTGTTTGGTGAACAAGGAGTAATCATACATGCTTTGAACAAAACCATCAGCAATTAAGGCCTCACACAACTTAATATTCCATTGCCTAGCCACTTACTTTAAACCATATAAGGATTTAGCTAGCTTGCATACCCTTTTCTCACCTGTTTGCTAAATCCTAGAGGAATTTTCATATATACCTTTTCATCTAAATCCCCTTGAAGGAAAGCATTATCTACATCTATTTAAACCAGATTCCAATTATTCTGGGCAATAATAGCTAAAACAGGATGAATAGTAGTCATTTTTACAACAAGAGAAAATGTTTCTGAGCAATCTATACCCTCTACTTGACTGAATCCTTTGGCAACTAATATGCCTTTTAATTTATTTAAGGTACCATCAACATTAAATTTCTTTTTGAAAATCCATTTGCATCCTATAGCTTTCTTACTTGGAGGTAATACTATTTCCCATGTTTGATTTCTTTTTAAAACAGTAATTTCATCTTACATAGTTTTAATCTACCTATTGTCTCTTATAGCTTCTTCAAATGTATCAGGCTCACTAACATCGTCTGTTAAGGCTACAAATTCTTTATATGATTCAGAAATGTGAGCATAACTGATGCTGTGTTGCATAGGGTATAAAATTTTCTTATTCCCTTTTTTGTCTATTTTATTTAAAAAATCCACACTAGAGCAGTCATAATCTCTAAGCTAACTAGGAGCATTTCTATGTCTAACAGGTCTACTATTATTTAAGGCAGTGTCTGTAACATCCTAAGTTCCTTTATTGGTAATTATCAGTGTTTTCAAGGAATAATTTTGTCAATTTAGATAAATTGTTATTTAGCGAGGTTTATGGAGACTAATATGGATTTTTCATCTTTAGACAGTCTTAAAAGAGGGCTAGGTTAAGATTTAAGTAGGCCATGACACGGAAGGGAGTTTGAAATTTCATGGGCCTTTCCGTGCCATACGCCGCAGCGGGCGAGTTAGTGCACCGCGGCTCACAAGCAAAATCAACACTTATCAGACGTGAAAAACAGATCAAAAACAGAAGAGAAAAAGAGAGATACTGAGAGAGCAATGGAGAAAAGCTTTTGGTCTACTAGGGCACGATCTTTAGACTACTTTAAGGGCAATTGGAGCTTGAATCACCATTGGGTAAGTTGTACATTCCCTCTTCTCCCTCTTTTATGCAAAAATCTAAACGTTTGGGGTAAGGGGGGCTTTGATTTTGGTTCCCTTGGGTTTAGACCGAACTCATTTGTTTATCTAAGATCTTGAAGAGTTAAATCAAGCCTCTAACCTTAAGTTTATGAGTTTTGTGACGATGAAGAATTTTGGTAAGGGTTTGGATGAACCCTAAGTATAATTTGAGGATTTTGAGACATTGTGGAACATTGATTAGTGAATTTAGTGTGTTGGAATGTGTAATAGGATGGTTAGAGTGTGTGGGAATGGTTGGTATTGTTAGAAAATTGAGTATTTTAAGCACTTAGAACTAGTGAATTCGGAGTTATCCGGAGTGATAATTAGCGATTATCACCTATTGGTATAGATTGAGTGTTGCTCGAGCTATATTGTGCGTATAGAACGTGTGGAGCTAACGTTGAGTCACGGTAACCCTTTTTGTGCAACAAAAGGATTGAGGTAACCATATAGTTTATTGTGTTTATTAACTATTGTAATTGTATAGAAGTAATTATAAATGACAAAGTTGTGATTTTGAATAGTTTTGTGCATAATTTGACATTGTAAATGATTTTAGCATGAAAGAGTGTTTTGTAAATGGTTATTGTTTCTAATTGAAATATATATATATAGTATGTATATAAGTGTGATGTGAAAAATGTGATGAAAAGTGGTGAAAATTGTGAAAGAGTATGATCATAGGGGGTGAGAATTCACCCGAGATATGTGGGAATATGTGTGTGTGGAGATATGTGAATGAAAAATTTATATGGTCAAGCTGACACCATGGGACATCCGTTGCAGCATTATATGAGACTGTTACCATGGGACATCCGGATAGTCTAGTAACTCCCTAGTACCTATTAGGGTGCAGTTAGGAGTCAACGACGCCTCTATCACAAGTATGTGAAGAGGAAAAAACCATAGTCCGTAGGCGGGTTAGATTACCTTTGGCTAGGTATTTCTACCATCGAAAATGTGCTCAGGTCAACAAGTGATTGAATCAGGAGAGCCTATGGTTTTATGTTGGGGAGCATTGGAGGTTCGGTGGTTAGATGATCATACTAGTGTAAAACTACGCGTTTTGTTGAGAAGAGATCTATATATCTCATAATTATGGTGTGCTTGGTATTTCTATAGTTTTGATACTTTTTTATGGTTATTTATGGTAATAAATATTTAATGAGCTATATTAGTTACTGAGATGATTATCTCACCCCATGGTTATATTTTACAGGTGAAGGCTTTGGTATGGGTAAGGGGAAGGAAGGGGAATTTGAAAAGTGAAGAGCATCATAATATAGCTCTTCCCTTTTCTCTTTTTGTGTGTGGTAATTAATATTGTCGATATTTATTACCAAACATGACATTATTTAAATGTCACTTGTATGAAATTGTGATAAGTATGTATATCTTGGTCCAAGAATGATGATACGGATTAATTGTGTGCTTGGCCAAGTTGCTTACAAGTGATTTATATATATATATTAAGTGTTTTGAGTATCAAAATAATCAATTGATTGATGCATTGGATTTTGTCTACCCCATTGTGTTTTTGTCCAATAGGAATTTGGTAGTCATTTTGAGTGCGATTGCTTAATTGTGTAATGTGAATGGCCTATTTGAGGTGGTCAAGTTGTCTCTGAAACTAATGGCATTGTGTATTGTAAGTTGGACACCATAATATATGTTTTGTTGTGAAAATGAACCATTTTGGGTTCGATGTCCATCTTTTAAATGGATAATTGTATGAGTGTAAGATGGGAGAGGGCTCAAAGAGCTTTGTGTGAACACTTGAACCACCCAAATCGAATGTCGGATGATGAAATGATATGCTTTGGAAGTTTGGAAAAAAGTCATGACAGTAGGTACACGCCACGGTGCATGATTATTGCACCGCGGTACAAGAGGCCCTCGAGGGATTCATCCCTTTATGCCATCCGCCACAGCGAATGGGCCAATATTTGTTGAAATATGGCGTTTAAGCCAGATTTTGTTGTAGTTTGTTTTCCATGCTTCCATATTTACTCTTAGTTAATTTTTGACCATGGTTTGAGCTCAAACTATATTTTAAAAAGGGTTTTCTTGGAATCCCAATGTTTTAACTAATTATCTTCAAACCATTGAGTTGTGGTAACTTCTCTTAAGGATTTTATTTAATTTGAGTTATCACAATAATGTATGAGTGTTGTCCTGATAATGTCAAGGTGAACATTACAGTGTTTTTGTTATTTGAATTAGGTTCATTGTTAAGAGCATCACGATTTTCATTTGATTCAGGAATAAGTTCATTACTAATGTTCAAATAGGGGTCAGGATAAATTGTAGGTACAGATATATCATCAAATATAAATAGGTCATAAGTACGTATCCGATCTTGCTTTTTAATAGTAGAAAGCTGATCTAAAAATGGAAATTATTTCTCAAGAAATATAACATCTTTGTTAACAAGAATAGTATCATTTTTATAATCGTAAAAAATATACCCCTTTTGAGTATTTGGATACCCTAGAAAAACACACTCGATAGACCTGGTTTGAAACTTTTCCAATCTTCCTGGGATTTTGGCATAAGCTAAACACCCAAACACTTTCAAATTAGATAAGTTTGGGGGTCCCTTGTATAAAGCTTCATATGGAGATTTATAATGCAAGACTTTTGAGGGAATTCTATTAATCAAATAGATTGCAGTCCTAACAACTTTCCCTTAAAATTTGATTGGTAAATTGGCTTGGAAAAGTAAACTTCTAGAAACCTCCAACATATGTCTATGTTTTCTTTCTACAACCCCATTTTGTTGTGGGGTGTGAACACATGAGGTTTCATGAATAATACCATTTTTAAGAAAATCGACAGAAGCATCATGGGTCATAAATTTAGTTCCGTTATCACTGTGAAGGTGCTTAATCTTAACACCAAGCTAATCTATTACAAAAGAAAAGAACTGTTATAGATGACAGAAAGTCTCAAATTTATTATGCATCTGATAAATCCAAGTTACATGGGAAAAATCATCAATAATAGTAAGAAGGAACTTATAGCCTTGATGAGTAGGGTCTTTATATGGCCCCTAAACATTAACATGAAGTAATTCAGAGAATGAAGCAGTTTTTATTTGACTGGAAGGAAAAGACAATTGAATTTGTTTAGCTTTAAAGCGAGTACCACAACTGGAAGAATTTAAAGAAGACAAATTGTTCTGTAATGAAACTACATGTTTAAGAATAGAGTCAGATGGGTGTTATAATCTCAAATGCCAAATATCATCATCAAGAATAGAGTTACTAGTGTGAATATTAGTTAATAAGGGGAGGCTTCCATCTATTAGATAGAGACCAAATTTTATGCTACCAATCATCTTGGTTTTGCCAGTGGAGAGATCCTGTAATACACAAGTGTCAAGAAAAAAA